AATTATGTTTATTTCTATTCACATATACGTTAAATATTCGTTAAGTAAATTGAGTATAATCCAATTTCTTTATTTTGATAAGATTAGTTATACTGCGAAGCATCAATGTTAGTCAAACACTTTTTCAACATAAGAGAACGTTTTTACCTTTGACTAGTTAGAATAAGCTGTAAATAGGTCATCTTTTTTGAATTTTCATTTATTGAATATTTAAAAAAATATAATTTATTCCTCATTTTTATTTAGTTATCAGATTGAACTTAGTGTCTATAATTATGTGATTTATCACAACTTCCTATTGATACATTGATATTCGAGTTAGATTTTATTGAACCCAAGTTATAAATTAAACAATCGGATGGCTGAAAACTTATTTACGTAATTCAAATATTGAATTATAAAAAAGTTTCACTATTTAAACTTTACGATAAATCACAGATGATTTAAGAGTTAATCTGAAATTTAACTGTTAATTCTTCATTACAAAATCAATTATAAATTGTATTAGTTAGCGTTTCTTCAGTGAGTTAGTTTTCTATGGGATGTGGTCGCTAACCACATGTCCAACCCTCCTTTTTTATCCGGGTTTGGGACTGGCAGTAGCCCCAGAGGGGGCTCTAGGCGGACTTAAATTGTATTAGTAGTTATTGTGAGAAAAAGAATTAAAATGAACTCAGTCAGTTCCTGGTACTGTGCAGATATTCTTTTTTTTAATATCCCTTGAAATTAAATAATGAATGTGTGTAACTCAAATGGATGGTTGAACGTTGTTAAAACTTCATCACCCACTAAAATCAAAAATAACTTCTTAAATGTTAGTTATTTGTAGAACTCAATTACATAGTATGTGAGTGTCCTTGCAACTGATTATTGTTTGCTATGTTATCTGAAATTTCTAACTACTGATTATAATTATCTTATTGACGATAGTCAAGAAGTCTGGATTCCATTGATAAAGCTCAACTCAACAGTCAGTGACTCTAAGTATTAATGTCATTGTCTATTACTATGTCATCTGGCATTAAACATTATATTAAGAGAGCAGTGGGATATATGGTATTGATATTTAGAAATATTAATTTGCTTGAAACATCCACAGTATTCCAAGTTTAATGATTAGTTCCGAATTCTGATTAAAGTCATACTAATGTTTTTAAATAAACTGATTTATATGACTTATCAAAATAGTATAATTAAACCTGTTCTCATTGTTATTTTTTCTTATATCATGGTCTAATTATGTCGGATAGTTTCAGCTAATAGGTGGCTTTTTCTATATTCTAATTGAAACTATTACTTCACCCTGATTCTACCAAAAGGTTGTCTTGGGATTATAGTGATTACCTTTCATCTTCAGCCGAGGGGGGTGAAAATGTTTTCGGTATATCCAACCGCTACGTACCTCGTCACACAATTTTTAGTGGCATAGGAGCAGGTTGTAAGAGATTAAGAACGAGAAAACAAAGACGTATCATTAGTCCATGAAATCACTGACTGTTTGACTGTCCCGTGTGTGTAGGTACAAAGTATCTAGTTTAGGATTACGGCATTATTGTAACCATTGGTTGGAGATATTAGGTGTCATGACTTGAAGTCAGTCGCAAAGGCGAAAATACTGTCATCTTAACATTTTAATTGATACAATGAGCTGATCAATGTTAGGCTACCACTGGATAGCCGTTTCGTCCTGGTATGGGACTGCTCAGCAATGAGCATCCATGATCTCGCACGCAGGACTTGAACCCAAGAACTTTTGTCTTGCGCGAACACCTAACCTCTAGACCACTGACATGGGATCCAGCGGTGTCAACATCTAACTTCAACCAATCCACGATATTGTTCGACTAACTTCCATAGTTTTCAGTGGGTAACTGCCCCAAATGCCCTGGTACGGTCGAGAATGAAGAAAGTCAACTCCCCCTCTCGAAATGCTCTCACATGACCACGTGCATACAACCACTGTCACGAGTGTCCTACTCACTATCTTCTCGTGGCGGCAGTATTGCTCACGAAATCGAGAGGATGTAAAGCCAATGCCCGGCGCTGTAGCTGGGTTGATGGATATGGAGAATCCACCTAAGGGAGTTGGAAAATTCAGATTCCAAACCATTGGTACACATTGGCTGCATAATACTGAGGAAACAAATGGTGTATGAACATATTGTTAGTCACCGGCTACCATGAGACTCCATCTCCTGACGTTGCTCCACTGTCTTGTGGATTAGACCTGTAGGTGAATGGTTTTGGATGTGGCTCCCTAAGGAATCTATCTGGTTCTGTTTTGGTGCCCGGTCAGTATTCTAGCTCTCACACAATCAAATGATTTATGTGGTGCATATCTGTTTGGTGCCTCCTTGTACCAATGTTTGTGTTTAAATAATAAAAATGACTTTCAAATCACAATTAATAAAATAAGTCTTTACATTAACAAACAATGGTTTATTTACCTACATCTATTTAATTCATAGTAAAAGCGAATGATAATTAACGCTGTATATGCAAATATACTACTCAATAATGTAAATTTTTATTGACATTCATTCATTCATAACAACGTCAAGTACAAAAAGTACTTAAGAAAAAAAGACCATTGCTGTAATCATTCGTGTTGGAAAAAGGGTTTACTTTTCTTTTCTTTAAAGAATCATCATAGAAAATTATTTTGATATAAAAACACTGTTTATTTCATTTTAAGTGTTAAAATGATGACTATTAATAACCTCCAAATGAAGAAGCGCTAGATGAAGAATCTTTAATCGGAAAGGACTCTAAGAAAGTTGCTTCCATCTTTGTCCAATTACATTTCAATAATAGAGAGCTTTTTAAGGCGTACAACGATATTTATCAAAGGTATTGCTCATAGATAGCTAGCTTATCAAACTACAGTATTTATTTAAATGTACAAACACAGGAGGACCACCCACGCAACAATTCTGACCATATAGCTATCATGTGTTGGATCAGACAAACTAGCATGAGTCATAACTTTTGTAACTCAGCTGCAATAAACTGGTCACGTGATGTATGACAGAACAACACAGAGATAAACGTGCTAGGACATAAACGGTCTGAGAGATAGACTTGACCTTGGAGGACTACTGCTATTGGCAGACTCACAACTTGTAAAGCAACATAGGATGTTGTATTCTCAGAAATGTGTCTAGTATCTAAGTTATTGATGCGTTATGTTACTTACATTATAGTGTGATATTAATGTAATTTATTATTCACGACTGTACCCTCTTACCATGCGCAGATTTATTTGGCGACGCCTTTATTTGTCTCCTAAACATTCAATATGCGATAAGCGGTTATGTATCAACTGGATCGCTTACCAATGAGTATTTATTTTTAGAAAACTTGGCAATTATTTACGCAATACAAAGTATTGAAAATGATAGGAATTCCCATCTGTCCTGTAATACAGTTTATGACATTTTCTACATTGTGGAAAACCGTAGGTATACAGTGAGTTTTGTGGATTCCAACTTAAATAAACTAGGTATCAAATATTCACCCACAGCGTTAAAGAATGCAAAGCCGTATCCTAGATGACATAACTGAACTATGAGATAAGAATGACGAGTAATCAAGCTAGTAAACTATATGTTTATAACGTCTTACTTTTGCCACTTGGTAAAGCTCATTACGATCTATTTCAAGGAGTAACCTTACAACAAAATCACTAAAAGGCTTTGTCATCAATATATATATATATATATATATATATATATATATATATATATATATATATATATATATATATAAACAGAAATATATGGTAATATAATACATCGAACAACGAACAAAACAAACATTAAAAACGTACTAGACTGTTTTCCTTAGTATATGACATCAGTAGTACACACCCAAGACGTCAACGCTGATAGAACATGTAATTCAGCAACCTTCACAATGCTCAATAATAACAATAAACATGTTTAGCTTAGATGATAGTGATAAGAATAGGGTAGCCTCATTAGTTCATACAAACTATCCCAATTTCAAATTCAGTCACTCCCTTAATTAGCCTTAGATTGAGCAGTTTGAACAATCCAATTGTACCAAATCAACCGTTAACGGTTTGACATTCAGCCACTACCATATAATCCAGTCAAAGTGAAAACAATTATCGAGAAGTATGTTACTAGCGCTTGTGGTATAGCAACTCATTAGAAAAAGATTTCTGCCGACACCTTTTAGCTCATTAAAACTACTTTATATATTTATGTACATAAATTAAATAATTGAGCCTATATGAAGGTTTACAGGTGATGGGAAAAGAGAGCAAGTTCACTCGTGTCACTCACAGTTATCTAGCAGACACCATCTTTTATGCAGTTTAGCTTACCACATAATAAATTTGGGAAGAATTTTCTTATTTTAGTTTGATTTCTCTGGGGATTTTATCAAATTAATACCAAACTAACTACCAAGTACTTATAATAGGAATTTATGCCCAGACTTATCCTTTGTGTATGGACATTGGAATCAGTTGAGAAGTTTGTGCGTGAAAATAGTTTCGAGTGCTGATGACAGTGCAACAGTCGAAGTAAATCCATAAGTACCGAAGCAGGTGGTTTTCTTAGGTAGCCACTCCCCAAACCATTCACCTACAGGTCTAATCCACAAGACAGTGGAACGAAGTCAGTAGATGGAGTCTCATGGTAGCCGGTGACTAACAATATGTTCATACACCATTTGTTTCCTCAGTATTCTGCAGCCAATGTGTACCAATGGTTTGGAATCTGAATTTTCCAACTCCCTTAGGTGGATTCTCCATATCCATCAACCCGGTTAAAGCCCCAGACACTCCCTTTTCGTCCTCTCAATTTCGTAACCATTACTCCCGCTGCGAGAAGATAGTGAGTAGAACTTCCCTAAAAGTGGCAGTATACTCGTGACCATCTGACGGCTGACTTCCACCACGCTCGGCCGTACCAGAGCATTTGGGGGCAGCTGAGAAAGTTTCACAGATTCCATACTTCGATTATAGTTGTTTTTGAAAGATTGCTTCCATCTGATGTCCGAGATTATAAGATCAAGGATTCAAACATATGTTGTAGTCTTAAACTGAGAACGAATAGCAATTCATTGATACCCTCTTAGTTTATAATGGTTACTGTCGAATCATCATGTGAAATACAGCTATGTTTTTCGTTACTGAAAAAAAAGTTTAACATACCAGGCAGTTGTTGACATATTTGTAAAATTATTTCACCGCATGCATCTATCATATGTGGATTAGAACGGTTCTAAAAGATAGGTAGTAAATATAAAACTGAATTCAGTTTTTACGTACAAAGAAAAATATTTAGTATATATATAGGAAGTTAAGAACATAATTGATGAGAATATGACTAATTAACAGGAAATAAACAATAAAATAACAGTATATTTGGCTTTAGTCTTAGTACTTAGATTTGAATCGTAATGTAATACAATGGTATTAGTGCGGTTACATTCGATGATTTATACTGTAGGAATAAACACACACGGGAATTCGAATTGATAGGAAATAGATCCGAGCTTCAATGTAAACTTTAACACTGAGATATGAGTACATTCGGCTAGTAATGTAGCGTATGCTACTTGTGCTGACAGATGTAAGTAGTATGTATTCCATCTGAAGACTGAACTGAAGAGAACAAAAAGCAAAATGGAGAGTAATTGTATTAACAAGATTGGAAGAATTATGAAGCAGGTACAAGAAAACTAAAAGATGTGTAAATAATTTATTTAATGTATGGTTTTCATATTTTACGAAGGCACTGCAATTTTGTATAAAACTGCTACTGTTAAAATGCTATTTTTCTGTCTACACGAATTAGATGTTAATTTACCTTAGACAAATATCTACATTAGATACCCTTCCAGTGTTTGTTCTACAGGACTTCGACACAACTCAGACCAAGAACACGTAACTAGTTCGACTAGAACGTAAGTATATTTCCACATCAAAAACGGACAACAATAACAATAGTAATAAGGGCAGGAAAATACATGACTCATTTAATGCCTGTCAGACCATCCTACTAGTCCTAATAAACAAACAACGAATCATTATTTCCCTCTCCCATACATCAACTACACCTAAGTTCTCGTTCGTTACAAAATGTATCCTGACAAGGCAAACACACGCATCCTGTGTTTTAATGCTAGCCATTGTTCAAAATCTAATTAACTTTTAGTATGAAAGGAATTCCAGAGTACTTGAATAGTATAATGGTAAATACGGTTGATGTTTTTAGTAAATATTCGAATGTACACTTTTATATCAATTTCGAAAGAATAGGAAGAGAATGATTATACATTTTTTAAATATACATAAGCTGATATACCATATACTTAAACTCTTGATAATAATTTCCTAGCTGTTTCCTTAATCTTCAGAATTCTCATACAGTTGAACCCGAGCAGCAGAGAAAAAGCATAAAGTATGGACAGAATCTTTGTTTCAAGATATTGATAGGTATGTAGATAACTCCAATATTCTAGGAACTTCTCAAAGGATACTAAATTTTGCAACAAAATATGACGAAATCGATATCTAAAAGCACAACTTACAGGCAAAATATTGACGGGAAATCGTATGGCTACATATATCCATTGTATATGAATAAATGAATAATACTACTTGTTCTGTTAATGAGTTAACGTACATTGTGATTTAGGATATTGGTCAGCCGTGAAATGAAGTACGTACTTTTGTATTCAACATTATTTGTTGGTGATGAGACTGAATGAAGAATAAAATGAATAGTTTACGATATAATAGTTCAGTGGAATGAAAGTTCGCTACTACTCGCTGTATGGGATCGCATAACTCACCAGTTTGAGATTAATACCAGTCATAGTTCAGAGTAGGTGCTTTCAGTGATGATTGCTCAATATTATTCGCCTATCTCCTTTATTAACAGTAAGATCTACCTTTTAATCAGATAAAATCTAGCTTCGTTACAGTGTTTACTTGAAGTTTATTCCTGTTCTGTTTTTTTTATGATTTTGTTTCATGCTTATTCAGAAATATTGCCAGTTTACTTTTTACGGCTTATACATTGGTAATACTCAGTGTTATGTTCTACATAAATAAGGTAGTAGGTACAGATAATTTCTAAGACTAATGAATGAATAAATTTAAGTAAACGTCAACAAATTTATTTACAAAAATAAACTACATACACCATATGCAGTATAATGATACCGTTCAGTTATTTCAACAAAGGTAGATGTTCTAAAACATTGTTTTTTATTTGCAGTTTGAAGACAAAGATTCTTAGGTTTGATTAATACAATTTCAAGGGATCATGCCTTACACTTATCTAAAAATGCTACCGATATGAAACAGATGAATGTCTTTAAACTGAAAGGGTCTATAATTTCTCATGACTGATGATCGGGATTGAATTTTGATCAGTTTGTATTGCCACATGTGCATCCTGACAAGAATGCCTCTAATATAGCTCTTTTGCCACAAGTTTTAGGATAATTGGGTTGTAACTGATTAATTGTAGTCCTGAATAGAAAAACAAAGAATACCTTAATACTGGTTTTACAAGTAAGTCACTATCTGGACTCAGTATCTCAGTGGACAACATGTTGATGTCTGGAGAAATCACTACTAGATTCGACTCTCATTATGAACACTTATAGGATCTCCTGATGAGTTACAAATAAAATGAAACCTGCGTCTTAGATTCTACATTCATTTGAAGAAGCTTGAAATCGTCGTTTCCTAAGATAATTATATATAACATCTTATAAACTAAGCATTTATTTAATAACTGTCAAATTTTTACAGACATTCATCTTTATGCCTAGACAATTATGGTCTTTTCTTTTATATAAATCTATATTTATTTTCGATAAACGACATAGGATGTCTGAAGGTCATGTTTACTTGGAAAGAAAATGAATAATCAATGACACAATAGACAAAAAGTCATATTATTATTAAATATGGATTAAATACTTTTGGATAGTTAAAAAACGAAAGTGACTTGTAAAACGAAATCCGGAACTATGAAGTCGGTCGGAATGAAACTCTAACAAGCATAATTTGTCGAAGATCAAGAGAATCCGAAATATTCCGGTTCTTTCGTAAAGAAACCACATTTTTGTATTTGTTTATCATTTAATGCTAACAGTAAATTAAGGTAAGAAAATAGCTACAAAGAGATAGATAATCTTTACAATAGTCTGTTTATCAGTCAGTTACCATTAATTAAAGAGAATTGGTACGAATATGTATTGTTCCGAGATGTCATACACATCGCACTAACATAATGAAAGAGAGAGAAACAATTAACCAGACTGGCAGCGAATGGAGAGAAAGTTAATTTCAACTGTAATGAAAATCTAAACATAAAAAATACACGGAAAGTGGTTAGAAGTGTGATTCAGAACATATATTTAGTCCTATCTCGGACTCGTCAACTGGATGTACTTATATCCTTGTATTGACGTTCATACAGGGACTCGAACCCAGTAACCTTCACTTCAAACGCTCAATACTTTATTTATTGAGTTACTGGAGTGTAAGTAAACCCAAATGATGAGCTACAAACAATATGAAACGTATGTATTAAGCTTTAGGTCGGTAATATGACAGTTTTCTTTCGCTCTGCCTTTATGGACGTCCAATCACTAATCGAACTCAAAAGATAAAAGTCTCAAAGTTGTACTAAATAAGTGTCAAGGGCGAAAACTAAACTGTAACAACTTTCCCACTCCCTGCATATTACGCACGGACTAATGGTTAGACAGATTAAAGACGTAACAAATGCATGGTTATTACAGCGACCGTTATTTTCAAAGGAAAACAAGATTCATTGTAAATCCAGTTGTAACTCAGTCCTCTCAAAGTAGAAAACCAATCATAAGTGAAATACTTATTATTAGATATCAATTGAATTTGAAACCAAAAAAACTTACTGATGATTCATTGAACTAGTGATCAACTAGAAATAAATGGCAGTGTAATATCATGTTAATTACATTCAGCACTATCCAAACACTGAAATCCTTACACCAACCATAGTAAACGCACATCGTAAAGATTAATCAGTTATTTATGAGTATATAAACATTGTAGACGACTGATTTGAACGAAAACACTAATAATTTAATACAAATATAACTCGTTTAGCACTCACGTGTTCATGTACTTAAATTAAGTCAAATGGAATTGGATTCGAATTAATAACCTACTGGTTAACAAACAACTAATTTAACCATACATGAACTAAAGACGTTTCTACACTGTGTTATATCATTGGTTCTTTTAAGTCAAGATAATGGATTAAGGATGGTGATTTTTAATTCCCTTATCCAACAGATGAAACAAATATATGAAAATTATTTCAAAAGCTGAGTAAATAAAAATATGACAAGGGATATTTATGGGGGTAGTTGAGCAGATAAACGACAAATAAACAAATGAAGAACACCTAAATATTTGATTGATATAAGAAAATTATAGTAATTTATCATACACTACTTACTACTAACATAGATATGATAATGTACACATTGTGTTTTGTTTTAATTTCATTCCATTATCATATTTTACTTCCTAATTTGCATAATTGACTGACCTTGAAGGATATTTTAAACCAGTAAACAGAAAATGACCTATGGTAGTGTAAATACATATTAGTCCGTTAATTTATTCGACAGGTAAATTTTTCTAATTTTTTTGCTCTTCAATAACTCAGATTCATTGATCATATATATGTTAAATTATCAAAATTGATAGAAATGAAGGATAAATAAAAGTCATAAATTTAGAGCATAGCACATTGTTTAGCTGCTACTAACTTTCACCAATGGAATCAACTATTTAAGATGTTCTACATCGATCTAATTTTATTTCACCGAACGTATGAAATAAATCTTATTTTTTATAAACCATAAAAACTAAAGTCATTGCCTGGAGTACGTTGAATAAAAGAGAGAGAGGAATAAACGCGTTTTAACAGATTCACAATTAGATGAACACTTGATAGAGTAAAGAAAAAAACAAACGATTCAGTATGTAAGCGATTCATCCACTCAATCATCTGTAAGATAACTGGTGATATATTCTGGTTGATATTAACAGATGGTTTATTTCAGTGACTAAACAAATTTTTTGTTAGATTTCCAATGTCAGTTATACGAAACATAGTGAAGTGATCTATAAAAATAGTAGTAACAAATATTGAGATAAAGCATACAGTATGATCAATGATGAGTAAGAATTGTAATTTCAGTAAAGCATTCAAGCTGGATAGTGAAAATAATATGGTAAATCATGGAGAGATATAACTTTAATCCACGTTACGTTTCATAATAAGTTGGATGTCTGAAACAACGTAAAAGGATAAAATCTTAATTGAGTTTCTATGTGTTGGGATGAAATAAATAACTGTTGTCGTGATTCACATAACTACTAGTTTTAAGTCGCTAGTATACATGTATATATAACCTTTGAAAGAAGTAAACTTTTCCCAATACGTTAGTTACAAACAACAGCATAAGGTTTATAACAAAAATCCATCTGCCACTAGTGTTTTCATAACTTTCACAACAACAAAGTAGTGATATGAAGTTAACAGACAAATGCATAAAAAAAATTAATTAATAATAGAGTTTATTATAGTTAAAAGAAAAATAAAATATACACAAGGGAAAAAGCAAGATCCTCAAATTCAACACAGAGAACACCAACACAATCACACTTGATGGAGAAACTCTAGAAGAGGTGGAAACATTCACGTATCAGGTGAGCATCATCGATAAACGTGGAGGATCTGATACAGACGTAAAGAAGAGGATTGGCAAAGCAAAAGCAGCATTCCTACAGTTGAAGAACATATGGAACTCGAAACAACTGTCAACCGATATCAAAGTCAAAATCCTCAATACGAACGCTAGGATAATTATACTGTGTAAAGCCAAAAACTTAGTAAACTACCACAACCGTCATCAAAACAGATCAGGTATTTATAAACAGTTGTCTACTCAAGATACGCAATATCCGTTGGCTAAATACCATCAGCAACAAACTACTGTGGAAGAGAACAAACCAACTTCCAACTGAAGAAAAGATTATGAAAAGACGCTGGAAGTGGATTGGACACACATTGAGGAAATCATCAAACTGCATCATGAAACAAGCACTGACTTGGAATCCTGAAGGGAAACGAAAAAGAGGAAGGTCAAAGAACACACTGCACCGAAAATCGGAAGCAGATATGAAAACGATGAGTAGCAACCGGAAAACATTTCTAATATAGAGTTGGATGAAGAATGCTGGTGAGTGGTCTGTGCTCCTCCATGAGAGGTAACAGGTGTAAGTAAGTAGGTATAACCAATTTGTTGGATGCACATAGATTTGCAAATCTCTCGCCATTCTCGATCCTTTCTCCTAGTTCATGTCGTACCATAATATCTTCATAACCGTTGTTTAGATCTCCCATCAGGATAGTCAGGTACTTTCGTGGGCACTTCGTTATGATCGGTTGCAACCTTTTGTAGAACTGATCTTTATCGACGCCATTGCTATCATTGGTAGGTGCACAACACTGGATAAAATTCATTGTAATTCCCTCCTTCTTTGTTTTGAAAGATACCGTCCAGCGCCTCTAGGTTTTCACTGGTGGTTTAACATTGATCGATGAACGATCTCAACAAAAAGAAAACGTGTTTGCATGTTTAAATTTCAACTGACTAAACACACAAATGAAAAAAACGATTGATTTCTTTGAATTTCCGAGAGTTTTCATTATCATTGAATTCTCTCCTTGAAATGATGCGAGTTAACGAAGTTTGTAAAGAAAAGTCGGCAGAATTAAACTTTACAGACGACAAAAAGGGATTTCAAAAGTGGCCTTCGAAATTTCAACCATCTAATATATTTAAAATCCTGTTAACAATTCGCAGCCAAGCTTAGGTATTGAGGTACTGATATTAGCTTCAGAGTCACACAGATGAATAAATTTCGCGCAAAAATCTTAGATGCACAAAATTAAATCTGATTGAATTCGTCTGTAGATTTTAGTTCAACAGGAAAACCGTGTTTTATGTAATTTACTGAACCATTAACTACAAAGACTCATGTACTGAAAGTTGAACCACTCATAATGTAAGTAGCTAGCACTTTATATAGTACCCGCTTGCTGAAACCGAAACAGAGCTCGAACCATAGACTTATTGGCTGAAAGCTAGTCAAATGTATTAACCAATGTCATAACTGTCTTTTGCTAACACATTATGACAGATGAAATAAATGTTCTAACTCGTATGAACCAATGTAATTTTACAGTTTCAAGATATGCCATAAATATAATTTCTCAAAAATATTGACTATCAACAACTCATAACTTGTGATATTACGAACTTAATAAAAGGCTTTACTTTAACACAGAGACGATAATGTGAACATTTTAATAAATAATAATTCAACCAATCATAGTTAAAAAGAGAAGTACATCCGAATGTTGGTCAGAAGAACGATCAAATATATCTAGTCAAACCATCCAGCTCAGAGACCACAACATGTCTAAAGTATGTATTTCATGCTAACACAATTACCAATCTGTTCTTTTAATTTCCTACATAGTTGTCCTAAAAGTTGTTTTACCGTCCAATTATATGGATTTACACGCTATACATATATTGAAATATTTGAACATCTTTTCAAACTACGTACTATATTATGCTTTACTTGTCCTGGATATTCAGTTATTGCTTACTGAGAATCCGATCGGCTACTTTCTAATTCACAGATAATCCTGATCTTAGTTAACTAATCTTTCACTCTGAATAGGTTGACAAATTTAAATATCACTCTTTAAATTTAATGTTTTAATGCACATTTTCTATGCAAAATTTTTGTGAATCGCAGTAGCATTGAATTTTCGATCAGTTATTTTCCAATTATTACTATTATTGATACTTCCTTACAATTCCGAATAGGATTTCATAGGACAGTCTATTAAGCAATAAAATTGCTAGTGTCTTACTAATTTGAACCTTTTGCTCAACTAGATTAAACTCTTTTCTTAATCGTTTAAATACTTCACCAACTCTAGCTTAACTTTGAGTCGATTGATTATTCATACAATCAATTTCAGTATTCGTTTAATTAGACTGGAGACCCAGTGAGATAATGAAATATTTCTTTTCCATTATTTTGATGTTGTTTAGCATATTTCTAAGCCCGATTGAATCGCACATCATATAAGCCATAACTGGATGACATGTACAGAATAAGATACGAACTGTTTAACTTATATAAAGAATTACTCCATAATATCCGTGCTACTGCTTACCAAAAAGATTAACTTAAGACCCTGGTTTAGATCACTGAGTAAGCTTACCGTACTCGTTAGATTTTAATTTCATAAAATCAGTATCAAAATAAATATCACACAGTAAACAGAGAGCCCAAGTAAAGAGAGAAATGAATGAGTAAGGTTGAAGGCGACACCACATTAAAGAAACTTATAATTACACTCATTGGAAATTAGAATATTATGGTGAAAAGTAATGTATAGTTGCCGAAACACATACAATACTGAGATATAAATTTACAAATGAGTTGTTAGGATTTTTCTACGATAATTTCTTGATATGTGTCTCATTGTAGTTGCAAAAAGTATACACGCATATATACACAGGTGATCAGTAAAGATTTCTATTCTAGAAACTACCAACCTGTATTACTACGATTAGCGTTAAATAAGGAGACAATAATTTATTGTCATAAACATACTATTTTTAGTACAAACACAAGATTTAAGAAACTAAGTGACGAGTCATGAAGTTTGATAAACAAGCAGACCCATGCTTATTAAGCTGAATTATTATTTTCAGTATAAGTAGTAGGGTTGTTAACGGTAATAGAAATGAGAAATAACTTCGAATCTATTAATTTCTTGGTCCATTAGTCTTAAATTTTAGCACATACGTCTACTAAATCCATGTCAGGTTAGATGAAAGATCCGTTCAATTGAAAGAATTTTAGCCTTCTGCTAGAGACTAGGTTGTCGGACGTACTTATTGTCGAGAGTGACAATAAATCATAGAATAGTAGACCTATTCAAGAAGAAAGGTACTTAATATCTAATGTCATTTCAAACTTTCAATACTAAACAGTAAAAGATTTCACAAATTATTCCACTAACCTGGTATGTGAAATCTAATGAAAATACTTCCCCATTTGATTGATGGCTATGTACACCTAGAGGATAAACAGCTAATTGTTTTTTCGCATTAATCACATGATCACATGTAAACGTGACGATTTGATTTGATAATTTACCAGATGGTATAAATATTTGTTCAATGGCTTCGTTGAATGGTTGCATTGTACCACCGACTAAAAGGACACTTCTAGCTTCTTGCACTAGATCTAATTAAAAATTTTGATACATAGATGATAAAAATAATGTTTATTGAATCTAAAAAGAAAACAGTGAATATTACCCTGTAATAGACGAGGACTGTCGCTTGATATTAATAATGGGTGAACTGCGAATCAAAGTTTAGTTTTGACGATAAATGAGAGATCATTTTTAAGAGAAAAATATTTTAATTTTAATTCAACTAAACTTATTACAAGTTAAGAATCGTTTCTCAAAACTAAATTACATCTAGTCACAAATCTATCTAGTATTGAGCTATGTATTAACAATGATTTAATCTATGTCTTACGGACGGTGATGGACTAGAAGTATTGTAAACTTAGCTGAACATGAAAAACCACAACTGAAGATTCAAAATAGCGCTTATTGAAAAATCCATATTTTGGATGATTCTAGTGAAATTTTTTAGAACTAATGGAACCCCCAACATACTGATTGCACTTAAGACAAACGAAAATTCATGTTATTACATATAATAAAATTCAATAAAGTTTCTAACCTTTTAAATACCTTCCAGGATTTAAAAATACCACACGTAAACACAAATCTTGAGTATCATCTGTAAGATGACTTGACGAAGACAACATATCAGATGAGGAGATTGATAGATTTAATTTTGTTGAGTTCTTAACAGGTTCAATAATTATACGTGCATCTTCTTCACAAAATTCCAAAGCTTTAAGAAAGCTATGAAATTTAAATAAACTGGAGCCGATTCCTTCAGACTTTTCAATATCTATTTTAGATTTTTTATTCGAAATACAAACCTGAAATTGGATCGAAAACTTGAAAGTGAAATTCATGAAATACCTTTAAAAACATCTTGTATATTTCTGATAGTTTCAATGCATGTTTAAAAATTCTGTTTATCCACATATGCTTACATCCTAGATGAATCTCATGTTTCATTATTTCAGATATTACCGGTGATCCAATCTTCGGTAGCTGGAGTTCGTCTGTAGGGTACTCTGAACCTACGTTTCGCACAAGTTGGCATATATCAAGAGAATTGAAGCCTTCTCAAAATATCCCACGAAATATACAGGCACTCAGACCAGCGGTCATAACGGAACTTGATTGATGGAATTTGGTTAGTTTTAACGCATTAGGCAAACATGACATTGCTTACTAATCAGTAACTCACCAATTTTACTGATACTATTTACCAAATAATAACATAAATCATTTACTGAGGTACAGATTCATGTGCTTGGCTCAGATTTAAACTCGAAATGAAGCATTCAGATAGCATTTGTCTATCCAAACTGAAGAAGGTTGCTAGCTTCAACACTAACTATGCATATAAGAAAGAGGTTTTGATTAAAACTCATAACAGATACCTTGAGTGGAGACATTCCAATAGACGCTTTCCTAATATAATAGCCAGTTAGTAAAAGTTAACTATTCATGTGAAAAATATCGACTTAACTCGTGAAGATCTAGAACAGTTTGTACAAATGAATTTTCGCTTGTAAACATAGAAACCTATTACACTATGAGAAAGATTGTAACTTTAACTACTCGAATTAAGCAACCATGTTTTAACTTACCTGACTTGTATCTCCACATTGATTATTCTCATCAGAATATTTTCTTTTCATAGTGTTTAATAAATTTGTCATTTGTGAACAAGCTGTTTGGCTAGTAGCAACATTTTCTAAATGTTTCGGATTTTGTTGTATATTATTAGACCATTTAGAGAAACCAATTAATTTCATGATAAAGTGTTGATATTCTAAACAATCGATAAATTCACTTAAATTTATGTTGTCCAAGTTCGATTCCGAAAATAATTTATTCACTGTTTTAATGATAACATTAGCCGATATGGAAGATAATGATAATTGAATATTTTTAAGTGTTGTATTTAAATAAAGTTTTAATTGTTGTATAAAATGTCTCATTTGACGTAATCTTAATGTAAGAAATGAAGATAAACGTGAACGATAATATTGTAAATAACCAGAAAATAACTCTTCTAATTTGTATAAATCATTCACCAATGACAAACTGACTGACATTGATGACGCCGTTGCTTCTAACAAATTATGCGCTTCATCAATTATAACAATTGAATTTTTTAGTTTTAAACCAGATGTCAAACGATTTGATGGTTGTAGTAATGATGAATATGGTACTAAAACTAATTGAGCTAATGGTAATCCCTTACGATTAGCGTAGTACGGACACCCAATATGAGACGACAATTGTGTATCATTTACTGTTATCTCGTCTTTTTGGCATTTTTTCAAAGAATTACTCAGAACATTGATCGATTTAGATGACTCACTTGACTTTCTATCTCTAATACTACTGGTTATATTTAAAGCTGAATTACCAATTAATAGGTGCTTGGATAAATTATTAACAGCTGTTGAGTTACGCATTGGACATTTGAAACCTTTCGATTGACCTTCCTCACGATTACGCGGTCGATTCAATTCAAGACAAGCAATATTAATTAAATCTGGGTGTTTTAACTGATAAATTGTTTCATTAGTGCATAACAAATTTCTTGATGATAATTGAATTATTGTGACTTTATTAAATAATGTTTTACATTTTGCAAATTCTTTGGCTATTTGTCCGAGTTGTGAATGAGTACGACTACAATAAATTACATGTAATAATCCATTATCAGATTTTTGTTGTTCTTGACTTTCAAACGGTTGTTCCAGTTCAATTTCATCTAATTCGATAATTTTATGTTTATCGAATAAGTTTTCATCAGGTTTACATAAAAATAATTCATCATCGCAGTCATATTGATCGTTGGAAATGTCTATTATATTTTTCAATTGTTCAATATCAATACTTTCAATATTCGCTTCAGTTATGGACATTTTATCAACATTTAAAAAGTCAGTTTGATGTTTAAACAGTAATGATGAGGTAGATGATTTAATTTTCTCAATTAATTGTAAATTAGATTGATAGATTAAAAGATCTTCAATTTGTGGTTCAATTTGTTTTTTTAATAAACGATTTTTATCATATTCTACTATCCAATCGTATTCCTTAGAATTATTCTCTTTATTTTCATAATTCGTTAATTTTAACTGAGATTGAAGACTATTTAATAATAAAACCTGTTTTTCGTTATAATCTAAAAGCCAACGTAATGTTGCTGTTAATAGACTCAATGATTTGCCAGTACCAGTTGGACTTTCAAATATACCACAACAGTTAGATTCTAATGCCTTATAGACTGTTTGCATCAATTCAAGTTGTTGTGAATATGGTTTCGGATAGGGGAAATCAAGAAATTGATCTGGTATGGTTAATAATGAATGTGAGTTATCATTTACATCATTAATTTTATCTTTAGTTGATGTCGTAGTTTGTTTGTTTTTGTCAGTTAACGTTGGTGTAAAGTTAGTGATATTTAATTCCAAAAGAATTTGATCTCCAATTGAATCATTATAAAAATCATCATCCATCATAAGCATATATCTATGAAGATAGAAGAAACAAACAATAGTACGTACATTATGGAGTTAGAGCGTAATTTTGTTAGTGTTTGCATGGTTCAACGTCTCAAACCACTGATTTTCAGCTGCTAACTAGGTGACATTACTCATAATGGTTCGGAACATTCACTCTTTGTTCGCTTATCAAACTTGAATACTAGTATTCCTTCAAAAATCCCTTTCCTTTGTCTTTCCGAGCCCTATTCCCAAACGTTATTCTTTCTAATTTTCATTGTCACCAGGCTATTCTGATCTGTTATGCTACATGTTTTCTTAATTTTACTCCGTCGTGTTAATATGGTGCAGCAACTTGAGCAACGTAGGTTTGAACCAGGCTCTAAGTTGATGATGACTATATGACAAGGCACTTCTTTGCGCAATCTCTCGGATTCCGACAGAGGAGTCGTGATGGACTAATGGATTCAAGTCCCATACGGCTTCCTTACGTGCCACGGCGCCATTTCATAAACCGACCATGATTCTCCGCTTTTCCCACCAATTCTCAGTGTAGGCTAATAATTCATGAAATTGAGGATGTGTCATAGATTATCTTAATTCTCAGCTGTACCAGTATATGCGTAAATTAAATAAGATTTTAAAACATCAACAGGATTCAAGCGATCCAGTATACGCAATGCTACAAAAAGAGATTGCCATCAGATCTGAACAGTTGTAAAAACAATCGCTCTTAATCTAAGCAGTCATCAACACGAAGGTTAGAATTGAAGATTTATGAGTAATTTATCAGTAAACTATTCCACCAATGGGTCGTGAGTAAATGTTATGCCATAATAATTACTTGATCCTCATACAGTTCTATCTATCAAATTGTATAGTGAACGCTAATCTCGAGGTGGTAGAAAAGATTTTTTATCTCAGAACGATTAATTTGTTGTAGTTGCGTAATCAGAAAAACGATTCAATGGAATCAAGTCAAAGAAGTTTTTATTTATTTAAACAAATAAATATTGGCACAGAGACACCAAAATTTGTGTACCACACAATAAGAAAGGAAGGCGAATATAAAAAAAGAACAAAGCCAAAAAGAAATTAGTGCATGATAATATAATAATAATGATAACAATAGTAAAGGGAGAAGCTCAGTTAGAAAAATACAACCAGAAAGCATCCTTCCAATAAGAGAATCCTCTCTTACTTAAATGAAGTAAATAAGAGGAAATTACAGCAGGACCGTCACTGGCTTCAGTTCTCAGCCATGTCTGAAAACGTTTCGAATCCCTGTGTTACATTATACCTAGGAACACGAAACATGAAGTTATGAAGGACCTACAGATGAGTCCTGTGCTGTTTTCTTTCATATTACGGTATTATGTTATACACTGACCACCTCTCTGCTTTTTTCAAACAAGTCTCAGAGCAAAAAATAATGCACGATGTGGAATTTGCTGGGACGAAGTTCGTAAGACGTGTCCAAGCCACTGAAGTCGGTATTTCTAGATGATAACAGCTACTGAATTATAGTCACTGTACTCAAATACACGTTATAAAACCTCCGCGATACTAACATAGTGTTAAAAGTGAATATTAGAAATTCTTCGAAGATGACGACGATCGGACACATAGAAGAGAACATCATCAAGAACACAGGTTCAAATATTTCAACTTTGAGTTTCCAGAGGAAACTGGTAGATTTGTAGTAGTTGGCGATCATTAATTAAGCTTATAATCAATTTGAAGAAACTGATGATCCCCCAAGAGTTTTGATAAGTTAGTGTAAATATCAAATTTTCACAAGTCAGTAGCGTACTGAAAGGTTTAGCCCCCAAATGCCCTGGTACGGCCGAGAGTGGGGAGAGTCCGCTCTCCCTCTCGAAATACTCTCACACGGCCACGCGTATACAGCCTCTGCCAGGGAAGTCTTACTCACTGCCTTCTCGTGGCGGTGGTGTTGTTTACGAAAATGAGAGGACGAAAAGCGAATGTCCGGCGCTTTAACCGAATCCCAAACCAATGGTGCACATGGGCTCCAGTATCCTGTGGGAACAAATGGCGAATGAACCAATTGTTGGTCACCGGCTTCCATGGGACTGCATCTCCTTACGATGCTCCACTGCCTTGTGAGTTTGACCTTTAGGTCAAAGGCTCGGGGTGTGCCCCCCTAAGATAACCACCTGCTTCGGTTTGGGCACTCGAGCAGTATCGTAGCTCAGACACAAATGATGAACTCTCTATATCTATGGAAACTACTTTTCTCGCTTTGAATAACAATCAAATGATTCAAATTATTACTATTATTTACCACATTATTCACCCTCTTTTATACTTATACAGCGGCTCGTCTTTGGTGGAAATTCGACTGTATCTAAACGTTCTCGAGTCACTGTCCGGTTTAAATTGTATGTTACCACTGAATATGAGTACTGAAGCATTTTTTCTGAAACCACGTGCACCATTCAACCTGGCTACCTTCAACATTCGCACACTTATGCAGGTTGGACAACAGATAGGGCGGGTTATGTCTTTAGAAAGTCTTAATATTGATGTTTGCTGTCTATCCGAGACCCGTATTCAAGACTCTGGTGAAGTACTGCAAACTCGCTCTCCATCTGTCACTTCGAAAAGCTTGTTTTACGTGCGTTTATCCGGGGACCCTGTGGCATATACGTCTGGTCTTGCTGGCGTTGGTGTCACACTAAGCGCTAGAGCTGAGGCGGCACTGATCGATTGGATCCCCATTAACAGTCAGTTATGTGCTGTTAGATTAGAAAGTTCCATCAAAGTGAGAAGAAATCGGTGTGAGAAACGATGTCTTTTCGGCAACTCCGTCTATGCCCCGACAGATTGCAATCCGGATGCAATCAAGAATAAGTTCTACCACCAGTTATCTGTTCTTCTCCAGGAAGTGAGTTCGACAGATATTGTAGTACTAGCCGGAGATTTGAATACTCTGGTCGGGCAGCTAGGCATATAAGAGAATCGTTTAGGTGGCTGATGCGGACATATTGAATGCAGGACAGATAACGGGGACAGTCTACTGCAACTGTACTCAGACCACAACGAAGGATGTTACGTAGGGAAATTGGGCAAAGCTTGCGTAAGGACCGAGAAGCCTGGTGGTCGAAGCGTGCTAATGAGCTGGAAGCAGCAGCTGCATCTGGTAATTACTGGAAGCTCTTCCAACTCATCCGAGCCACTGGCAGCAAGAAGTCTGGTGTGAGCGAAACAATCTGCGAGGATGATGGGATGCTAATCACTAAGATCCATCGACGTCCTGGACGATGGGCAGAATTTTTCGAAGGGCAGTTCACCTAGCCTACTGCTCTAGCAACATCGGTCAGACTGTCCTGCCCTCCATGACCGGTGACGACTGATTCACCTAATGAGGTGGAAGTCCACAAGGAACTCCAACTTTTTAGGCGCTACAAATCACTTGGCCCAGATGACTTACCTCTGGCTCTTTTTAAAGATGGTGGTGACTTTCTGACTAAGGAACTAACGACGTTGTTTACAAAGGTCTGTGAACTAGAGAGTATGCCGACGTCATGGAATGGGTCGATAGTTGTCCCTATCTCTAAAAAGGGTTCACGTCATTTCTATAACAACTATCGGGGGACACGTCTACTTCCAATCGCGTCCAAGCTTCCGTCATAATTCGTAGGCTGTTCAAAACCCGAGAAAGATTGACTCGCGAGGAGCAGGCTGGTTTTCGTTCTTGTTGAGGATGTACTGATCATATCTTCAACCTCCGCCTAATGTTAGAACAACGTCATACTTATCAAATGCCAACAATCGTAGTGCTTCTTGACATCAGGGCTGCCTTCGATTCGTTGGACAGGACTGTTCTCTGGGATTGTCTATTGAAGAGGGGTGTACCTGAGATGTTTATTAACATCTTAAAAGTCTTATGTACAAGCACCTCAGGCAGAGTGAAGGCATATAACAAGCTTTCTCTATTGTTCCATTCGAGCAGTGGGGTTAGACAGGGTTGCCCAATCGCACCATTCCTCTTCAACTTTGCCATCGATGACATTCTGGAAACAGCTCTGATGGATGTAAGTAATGGCGGTGTTGATCTGTTGCCTGGAGGAAGACATCTCGACCTTGAGTATGCGAATGATATTGTCTTGCTGTGCGATAATGCCCAAGGCATGCAATCCGCACTTATTCAGTTGGCAATCAGTGTTCGTAGGTATGGTATGTGCTTTGCACCTTCGAAGTGCAAAGTACTTCTACAAGACTCGCAGGATTGTTTCGCTAATAGTCGGGTTCCTAATACCGGTTTCTTTAACAAGTCTGAACAGTTGTCTGCTGTTACCTATTGCCGCTGCCTTTTCCGTCTCTCTTGCTTTCGCTACCGACCACTGATGGGTGCAAACTAGTACGAAATCTAAGACTAGGGTCACCTACTGACAACTTCAGACTACCAATTATTAAATGAAAAACATCATGGAATGTTTATTCTCTTTGGTATGAGTATAAACATTTTGCTAGTTTACCGATGTAAATAAATAGTTTACAACTTGTGTCAGTCAGTAGCATATGTCATGTCAAAACACAAACAATAAGTACATACATCCGTAATAAAAATTACAAAAACATCTTTATCTCTACAAAGAATCTTTCAACAGAGCGGTAATGTAAATATTGACTTGAAGATGAAAGTACATTTTAAAAATAGAAACTTCTGAATAGTTCTTATTGAAAATATTTTCTACATATTAGCACTTTTGTTATAAAGAAGAGTATTTCTAACCGATCTTAAAAAGTTTAAAAATAAGTTTTAAAGTGCATGTACTCTCAACATTACATCCCTACATACAATAACAGTTATTAGTTAAACTTCTTAAGATAAACTTGGCTGGATAGCTGCTAGGGTGTATATACAGAATTGATTAGTGATATTGAACTAAAAATTACTATGTAATCGAATGGGAATATATAGCTTTTTGGAAATTGGATTAAACCTACTGACGATAAATTAAGTTTCAAATTTTCTAGTGTCACACCCAAATATCACATGATTTAGGCGGAGATTCCTTTGCAAATGTTTAATGATATGACAATCTAACTGGAAGGAAATTTCAATTTCGATTCAAATAATTCAATATTCGCTAAAGAAAGTGTTTGCTTATTAATTGGATTGTCTAAAAGGTTCATAATGAGAAAAACGCTGACAAAAAAGCATCAATTTCAGAAACCACAATGTAACCACTGAACAACACATGGTATTCACTAACGAAGGCAGATATGATCAACAAATGTATCTTGACTAACATGTTAAAAATTACTAGTTCCAAGTTGATCACTCCTCTAAGATCATTTAAACGATAAAAATCTAACTCAATGATCATATCCATAAAACTGATGGGCTGATGAGTGATCATGAATAGTTTAATTCGCTTTGTCTATACATATACAAGCATCAATTGTTGGTAAGAATATTAGGCACATGCTCAAAGATTTCCTTTTTAAAATGAAATTAACTAGACATTTTTTTTATATATCTAGAGCATCTGCATCTTTTGTTCTATACATAGATAAATAAAAATGAGATCTGCTTAAATGAATTTTAGATCAATTTTATCGTAAAATATCTGATCTCTTAACTAACGTATTACATAACATTTACCTCACACCAAAACTACAAATCGAAACAACAGTTAAAGTGAAACTTAATAAATAGAAACATTAAAAAAACGTTTACTTCGATTGGTTGATTGTTTTATCACATAAACATGGGCGGTTGGGCTGAAAGAAATATCGAACTTCGTATAGAAGTGAGTTGAATTAAATGTTAGGATGACCTTGAACTCGAACAACTTCAATCTGATGTCAAAATCAATCCACCAAACAGTGTAACACTTGTATTTCTGACTAACTACAAATAATCAAATGAAAGTAATGTGCGTCAACTCACTGAATTGACTTACTGAAATATGTGTACGATTTTAAATAATCAGATCGAGAGTTTAGACTAGTTACTTATAAATGGGACATAAACGATTGGTAATGTTGCTTTTCAAGGATTCACTATAGTAATTACACTTGATTACTGGAATGGTTTATACATAATTATTTCTTCAGATAACAGAAAATTAACGAAAAAATTGTGTTATTAATTTATTCCGTGACACCGTAGGTAGATAGTTTAGTCAATTACCAATCATTTTATCAACATCAAATACAATTTGACGTGCTACGTTCAGAAATGAATATAACAACTCAGCATGAAAGTTCGACTTTTCGAAAGATGAGTAAAAAGTTCCTTAAAGTTCAAAATCGGAATTTAAATAAACGACCCAAGTACTGTTTACATATGTTTCATGTTAAGTCAATATACGGATTAGTGGCTTTGTCTTAGCAGTCGTTATATATAACCATTAAAGCTGAAGTTTTTAATCAAGGGAAAAGAATGAAACTCAATAAAATACAACTCATGCATTGAAGTTAAAAGATATAATTGAAGAACAATTAGCTGGTCACAATGCTAATTAACGATATATATCTGTTACAATAAAAAATAATTTATCAAACAAATTTTTTTAGGTCTTAGATGGGTTTTGTGGACATTATGAGTCAGTTGAAGCTAGACCACCTTGGAAAACCTAGCTTCTACTGACTCATGATCTTAACCATTGAAATTACTATAATGTCCACAAAACCCATCTGATATTAATCAACATATGCTCACTAGTGGCTGACTTCACGAGGTATATCCTGCAGTTCTAGTGAGAGGTAGTGACCAGTGGTGTTCAACTAGGTCTGTTGTGAGATAGTAACTCACTGAAGACAATGGTGGATGCGTCGCTCAATTTCGTAGATTAGCTGAAGTTAGACATTAACACCGCTGGATGCCGACTCAGTGGTCTAGCAGTTAAGTGCTCGCGCGCGAAACCAGTAGGTCCCGGGTTCGAATCTCGCAGGGGGCGAGGCCGTGGATGCACACTGCTGAGGAGTCCCACAATAAAACGAAACGGCCGTCCAGTGCTTCCAGGTTTTCCATGATCATCTAGCTACAACTGACTCATGATCTTAACCATTGGAAATTTTAAAATTATAAGTCGAAGAAAAATCGATCAGTACAATTCGTAATACGTGTATATAGCTCAAGATCAATTAGTCCAATCAAAACGCAAGACTGATACTTAATAACTCTATAGAAAAAAATAATTGTAAGATAGTTATGGTGCCTAATTTAGTAAATTGATTACACACCATTCAATGAGTGCATTCATCTTGTTTTTGAGACCTATAAGTTGAACAAAGTTTACTAATAGATACCACACAACTAGTTTAATATTAATCATAGAGAATAAAAAACAGTACGAAGTGTCAAGTAATTAACCATCTAAGCTTTACAATATAATGTAGACTGATGAAATTTAGAAAATTCAAAAATCATGTAAGAATAAGTATTAATGTAAAAAGATTTAGATCACTTAACATTCTACAGATAGATACGAACTCAATAGTTGAGTAAGATGGAGTTGGGAAGCTAGGTGTACCACTACATGAGAACCAATAAAGATGACTTTTTATTTACGTAACACGTATCAGAATGAATAAACAAAAAAAGATGAGCACTTCAACTTAGTATGCGTCTGTGCAACAAAAGTTAGAAGAGTCAAGCTAGTAAAATTGATCGATTAGTAGTGACTTGATTTATTTAGAATATATGTATGCTTCTTTATCGAACACTATAATTAATCAGTTACCTTTTAACTAGGCAGCAGAAAATTGACTAAATGTGAAGTGAAGATATCAAGTTGGTCATAAGACAAAATTATGTATTAATCGATGATCTGATATGCATATAAAGCTGAATAAAGTTCGCTCAATATAATTAATATTCATCTAATTTAAGACTAGATGTTATAACCTATTTCACTGTTCATTATGCAAACGTATCTATTGAAATTAAACCATTATCACACTCTGTACATTCAAAGTTAAGCAGAACGTACATCAAACAAACTAGCATAAACATGATTTTATTATACAAATTAACTTTCAATTATATGTGTGTATGTAATTGTTGAACATCACATATAAACAGATCCGTATAATTCTACTAATTCACATATATCACACATCAACAACTAACGATCATACTTATACATTCATTCCTTAGTCATACCAACAAAAATCGTGTTATGAAAAAAAAATGCAACAAACAAAAAATATTTGTTGATAAAAAGAATTTATTAAAATTTATTTCATTTTATTACGAAAATTGATGTAACAGTGACCAAATTTGGAGAAAAAAATCCACACACACACACAGATAAATCACAAACAAGAAGACTAACGAAGACTTGGATATCAGTCAGAGTAGTGTATAAGGATATCTTAGTACGTAGAACGTGAATTTAAACATTAAAAAAAGAATGAGTGCAATTTATTTGGAAGATTATACATTTCCAACTGTATTAAATAAGAGGGGAAAAATAAAGAGTGGAAACTGACAAAATTAAAATGTTAGTAGAAAAAAAATCCAGATAAGTAATGTGTGAACAAAAATTGTAAACACTCCAGTTTGTATTTTATCGAAAAAATTGAAATTTAATTTAATGCATAAATAACAGACACATAAGGGTATTTCGTTTTAATGTGGGGAACTCAAACAAGAAATAATAAATTAATTATAATACTGTCAGTTAATAACAAACTCCTCCTATAGATTAAAATTTAAATATTCCTTCTCACACAACTACTAAGTTATTGCTGTGGAGAAAAACAACACATTAATATGTGTGTGCGTGTGTATATGACCAACTAAAATTGAGTAATTGGTTGAAATGAATCAAAATGGTAAACAACCTGTTGTAATAAAACGATGAGTGGTAAAAAACAAACCAATTTTTCAATTATGAAGTAACAGAATCTAAACGTGTTACACTGAGACAGGAAGAAACTAAATAAACCACTATCGATAATACTGTTCAGTTGATGTAGGGACCATTTCAAATGATGTTCTTTTATGTCAAACTAACCAAGCATTATCAGCTTATGAAGAAAAATCATACATCCGTATATATTTGATAAATACAAGAATAGATATCTTGGGAAATTTAGTTATATTAAAAATTAGGGAATAAGATGGACGGAAAAAACATCGAAAAACAATAATACTGTGTTGTCCAAACAAAATTATTTTTTTCTAGAGAAAAAAAAACACAAAAAATAGCAAACTGCCATTTTCGTCGGTATGAATGATACAAAGTAAAAACTTAACATTATGTAAATAAAAATACTAATAATTAAACAAACGAATACAAAATGGAATGATGTTATACAAACTAACAAACAATGAAGCACAAAACTTTTAAACACAATTATATCATCATGATGTTGGTTTACGACCACATATACTATAGGCAAAAGATTCATAGTCTAATGCACCAGAATCTCCCGTTGGTCCATTTAATACAGGCATATTCTGTAAACAATATTCAGCATCACCAGCAGAAAGACGTTCTTTGATATCCTGAGCAGTGATATATCCCTAAAACAATAGAAACAAGAGATTTTAAAAACAATTTAACTCTTCTTCTTCATTGGGATTATAATTTAGTTAAAAGCGAAAATAATACAATTCAAACTAACAACTGATAAAGTGATCGAACATTGATCTCCATATCGTGATGGATAGATATCTACTGTATTCACTAGGTTCTTGAAAACTGATTCATAGAACAATTCATTTTAGACTGTAAGAAGTTAAGAAACTAAAATCGTTTACTACTAACAACGCTACCAACCGAATTATTCAAACTATGGCTTGAATGATTCGAAGAATAAATAAATGACTCACATTATACTGTGGATGGGATGCCTTATACATTTTATATCGTCGGTGAAATAAGAGAATTTCGTGCGACTCTCAACAAAAACTTGGTGCCGAAAGACAATGGTACTATACAAGTTGGGCAAAACATAGGATTGAATTTTATGTATGTAACAAAACGTGTTTTCCATACAGACTAAGAGTTCAAAAGTGCAAGTCTTCCAGAAGTATAGGATTGTCGGTTATAAAACACTGATGACCAACATAGGCTGATTATGTCAGAAAATCAATTCTGAAAAGAGCAAAAACAAAAGTTCTAGCAGAATAGCTTACAACCTGTGATATCTGACTTTAAATATCACAGGTTGTAAGCAGCTGACGAGAACTAACGAAATAAAATGAATTCATGCTATTCTGCTAGAATTGTTGTTCTTGTTCTTTTCAAAATGATGAGGGGAACTATGTGTATGGAAAAAAAAGCAATTCTTCACGTCTCTATATTTATACACCAATCTAATTTTATAAAATTGTTCAGTCTACCTAAATCACTATTTTAGCCGAAGATCATACAACTTACTGTATACTGAAATCAAAAGGGTTCCGATATACAGTGAATTTTGTACTCTTGATAAAATTATGCAAACAACTGCAGACATAACTAGTTGTACATCTTCTAAACAAAAGCATCTTATGACGATGTCTTAGATACTTCTGAATGAATTGTAAATTATGCCAGTTACAGTAGGATAAAAGACTATAAAAACAGAACTATGTAATATACACTGTGGAGACTAAGCTTACTTTATCACCTCCAAGTGTTTTAAATGATTGAATAAGTTGTTCTTCAGTTGCCTCGTCAACATTATCTCGTGTCATAAAGTTCAAGAATGCATCAAATGATATGTAACCTGTATGACCGGGATCAACTTCATTAACAATACGTGAGAAATCCGTTTCCGCCTGACAATTTAAAATAAATAAACAAAAATCAACGAAAGAATGAGCAGGAAACAAAAAAAGGAGGACTAGACTAGTATTTTATAGCTAAAAACAAGTAGATCGTTTAATCATCTGACTTTCTGTCGTCAAAAAATACAAA